TTAAAACTGGAGTTAGCGAAGCACATTTCGCTGCATGTAAATTATCCAAGCCGGAAGAATCCACGATGATGGATAGCCCGGGGTTAACCAAGCGATGAAGAGGCGACGAGGCAGGCTGTTTCTCATCCCTCTCGCCCTATCATTTTTTTCTTCTTCCCCTCCTCACAAAGTGACACAATAGAGACAAGAACTGACAGACGCAGTGTCAGTACATGCCAGAGTGTGGATCCGAGGCAAGACAGTCAGGTAATTACAGATGGTGAAGAGAAAGCCGTGGACGTGGAGACGCCAATTACCCGGGTGTTTACCTTAAAACCTTTCTCCCTCTGATGAAAACACGGGGTACCGTGATACGCCCTGCAGCCATGCTGAAGTTACCGCTGCAGGTTAGGATTACTCCAAAAATGGACACAACTTTTTATCTTGCTTTAAAAAAAAACTCACACATCTTTATTCAATACTCCAGAATACAAAAAATGGAAGACTTCCTGTCTTTTGTATTTAAAAGAGTTTTTTTTTTAAATGCTGAGGTGCAAAAAAAAAAAAAAACCTAAGAAAAAACATGCTTGCAAGTCATCACAAAAAGCTCCAGTAAAATGGAATAAATTAGAATGTAGATGAGCAATCAGTTTTTTTTTTTTTTTTTTTTTTTTTTTTTTTTTTTTTTTTTTTGGTTTTTTAAAGCTGCCTCTAGCTTTGCCAGCACTTGTACAGTACGTGAGAAAATATTCACCGAACCAGTCCTACACAAAGCAGTACCAGCCAGGCTTCTAATTGTTTCTCAAAGATAACATATCCTTGATGTAACATAACAGACAAGCACACCATCAGTTATGGCGCAACAATAATTAATTGCTCGCAATTGATCCCGCTCTAACCAAAACAAATTAAAAAAAAACGTAGCGGTAAGAAAGAGATAAATAATCTCAAGTTCCCAGCAGCTAGTTGCAACAACTGCAGCGTACATCATGCGATGCTGCGGTGAGTAATTTCCTTTTGTTTTCCTGTGTGTTTTTTTTTTCTTCTAAAGACAATACGATCTAGAGAGGAATAGACAGAAAGAGGTTGTTGCTGCTAACGTCATTCAATCTTGCCAAGTGCGAGAAAATTAGGCACGTTCTGGCTGGGGGAGATTTCCCAGGTATAATCCAGCTAGGTAGGTGTTAACGACACGCATCAGATACCCCAGGACAAACGGGGGGAGATTCGCCTGCTACACAAGAGATAAGAGGGTGGGTGGGAGATCCAGGCGGTTTTGTGGGATCACATGTAGCATTCGTTGCTAGGCTTAGTCATTACACCTCTGGCTTTAAGGCTAGATTATACAGAAGCATCAGTTTTCTAGGCCTAGCCATTACAGCATCAACTTCAAAGGAAGATCGGGGATTACATGGATCATTAGTTTCTAGACTTTGTCATTAATATGCAACTCACTTTTTTAGGCTTGAATGGAGAAAAACATGTAACAATCGTTATTTATTCTGATTCTCATCAAGTTTAAGGATAAATTGCGATAACAAGCATCGTGTGCAATATGTTTTAAAAAACAGCATGCACCTATGTGACCAGCAAACTAAGACATATTTAAACAAAGTGTTTGTTTTCCCACAGCAGAAGCCGCACATTAACACAGTAAAACAATATTTGTTTTCGCCTAAGAGATCTGCATGATGAGTTAGGAAAGAAAACAAGACATCAATTATCTGATAAAAACAGGTTTACTCATGAATTATTGGCACTTGCAGTAACAAGTAAGCAAAAAACAACACATAAGTAGCGCTATGGTTTGGAAAGAGCAATGAACTTCTTAGCAAGCTAAGTAAGATTGTATTAACATTATTACGGTTGTTTACTCAATCAAATGATAAAGGTAAAAGAAGAAAAGGAAAAAGATTTCAGATTGTTTCAATCTGTTAATGGAATGCGTTTTTTTTTTCAATTAGATTAATGCACCATTTTAAATAGTACCAAACAATTGGACTTTTATTAAAGTATCGGATCTCGATGTTCTAGTCAAAAAGTTTAGTTTAAAAGTTAACAACCTCAAAAGGATGCCTGTTATTTATGAGAGAGAGAGAGAGGGGGGGGGGGAGAGGGAGAGAGAGAGAGAGTTTATTTTAATTTAGAGGCAAAATTCTAATTTACACAAATTCTGTTTAAAACACGCCACAGTTTAAATTGAAAAGAAATAGAAGATATTTTTTTTAAATAAAAATTTCGTGAAATTGCAAAATGCAAAATTTAAAATAAAAACTTTCATTAAAAGAACTAATTAAAACATAATAGAGTTTCACGATTAACAATAGCAATTATGTGCGCTTGTCAGTTCAAAACACGTTTTCACAAAAATAAAATGAAAAAAAAACCGCATTTCATCTTGAATTCAATTAGTCTATAAAAATTGTGAATTTAATTAGTCTATACAATTGTGTTTTGTTTGTTTGTTTGCATCTAATTACTGCTGTTGTCCATCTAACCAGAATCTCCAAGATTATGTCGTGCAGTCGGGGTGTTAAAAGAATTGCAATAGAATTTCTGACTACAAAACTTGACCAAGGAACATAGCAGGGAACGTAAGGGACCGAGTGAGCAGCGCATCCCCCGCGAGTAACAACGTTACCTGTGTTTCTCTGTTATCAGCACGGGTTAATGGTGTTTACGCCCATTCGGTAAAGGACGCTTTGTTCACGTGTTGGGAGACTGGTCCAGGCTATCAGATTGTGTAAGAGAACAGGAAGGCAACAGGAAAGCGACAGGAAATAAATTAAATCTATTTTAAAATAATACGCCGGGTTCTTAGAGTACTCTGTGTAAAATTGCTGTACTGCAGATTGTAAAGTTAAAAAAGTCGATTTTTCTCCACAAAAAATCATTTCGTCTAAAAATAAAGATAGACTATAGCCGAAAAATCTCTCAACAAAAATAAATATGTCCAAAAATAGATGGAATTGAGTTTCCCATGTCAATATGTAGGGCATCTGATGGTCTACTTCAACGGCTGACCTTGTCACTTCAAGTGCCAAGCTGTCATCAACACAGCCTGGATCTTATCAGTGCTTAAGTGGTTCCGGTTTTAAATATCTCCCACACAGGGAACGGGCTTTGCTTCATCTCTCTTATAATTGGCCGCCTCTGTTGGCTACTTGTTTCACTCCTTTACAAAAGCCGCACAGAAAACGTATCACGATATCAGTTTAAACCCAGTTTCCCTTTATTTGTGTGTGTATTTTTATACTAAATATTTTTTTTAAAAACAGCTCTTGCTCTTATAAAAGGAAAACGACACAGACATATAACTGGTAGCCATAAAAAGATGCTAATGTAGCGAAAATGTCAGTTACTGTTTAAAATATTATCCCTATTCCCAAAGATCAACCGTAACTTTAACACATATTTTAATCAGAGTTTAAAATACCATCCCTATTACCGAACAACAGCCCTAAAATATAATCAGATAATGCAACAATCCTTTGACTTTTTGTATGAACAATGTCTCCGTCTTTCGTCGATTAACCCAGGATGCAGACAGAAAACTGAACCAACAAACAAAGCAGCATTCGACACACACACACACACACACACACACACACACACACACACACATGTACAGGGTATGGGTATGAAGGGCATACGACACACACACACACACACACACGTACAGTATGGGTATGAAGGTATATGCCAGAGAGAGAAATAGTGGGCCGAGTTACGGCTCGTGTGACACTATTAAACACGTTTCTGGGTTATGTAATCATCGTAATAAACAAACAGGGGGTCGGTGAGCAGACAATGCAGGACTTCACCAACTTTCCCATCGCTCACGGGCGGCTGCAGCACGTGAGTAACATCAGAGATAACAAAGGCGGAACATCGGCCCGTTACGGCGCGTTATCCCACAAGCAAGGTTTGAATTCTCCGTGTGGATTGTCAGGATTCTGCCCTCGTGCACCCCACTGTTCCCATTTTCTACGTGACTTACGTTTATTTTTAATCAGCAAAATAGGTCAAAAGTGTTTTGGAAAAATGATTGGGGGATTTTTTTTTCGTCTTTTTTTTCTTCTTTTTTTAGGTATCAAGTCACTTTTTAATCAGATTTTTTAAAAGTAATGTCAAACTCGTTAATGGGGTTTATCTTATTTTGAACTTCATTAGCAAGCTTATAGTAATACTGCTTTACATGGTTCATCATATATATATATATATATATATATATATATATAGATAGATAGATAGATATATATATATATATATATATTCAAATTGATTGCAAGAAACAATATTACATGTATTTATCTTTATTATCTAGTACGAGAATGATTTGAGCTTTAAATACATGTGTTATAAAGCATGACCCAGAGTGGCATATACTTAAACTCTGGCAAGTTTGTATCTACGTGTCACCTGACACCACATCAGGCGCCTAAAGGCCAATATCAGGAAGGTGTTGAAAGGTAAACCGTGCAAGATCGCCACAGTCTAGACAAGTGAAGACACGATCAAAGAAAAGAAAAAACCCTCGATGGGGAAATAATCAACCCATCCAGGTATATACGCCAGAGGACCAGGCAGATAAACGCTGGAGGTATGGCCGTACATCCGTCTGACCTACCGTAGCGGCGATGAAACCAAGGCGAGACACACACTTTTCATCTCGGCTACTCCTAGCTAAGGTAGGAATAAATCTCAAGTATTTCAAAAGGCACGGACACCGTGAGTGTTAGATACAAACATTTACACACATGCTTTGAAGGATTTAACAACTCTGTAGGTTAGCTAGGGTGGGGGTGGTATTTTTATTTCTTTTCTATGTAGGGGGATTCACACCAAAAAAAAAAGTGTCGTGCACTTGAGTTAGTAGTTCTTACATTAACGTACCTGCCCGATGTATTTATTGAAACAATTACAAGTCAAACGGTTTCAAACACCCGATCAGGTTCCCGTAGAACCCAAATGGATGACAGGTTTGTTGTGTTAAGGCAACATAAAGACACGGGGCCTACCTTTCAGACTTGCGGTCCATTGATGAGGGAAAGGGTGGGGTCTTTGTACGCAGCTCACACTCTGTAAAGGATGGCACTGAAGATGACGATGTGGACGACATTGTTCCCGTAGCGGAGGGGGTGGAGGATGAGGAGGAGGGGTCTTGGGAGTCGGGTGAGTGTCGACCGGTGGATGACTGGCTCGGGTGGGGGCTGTGGATGAAACCCGAATCACTCGGCCACTTGACCCACCGCTGGGGGGATTCCCCGAGGTCGTGGGAGGATTGTCTGAAGCTTAGGTTGTCTTCGATGGTAGACGAGTTGCTGATGGAGTTGTTGTTGGAGGCGAAACCATTGGGTGATGTTGATTCAAAAGGGTGATAATTCGCGTTCAGGCTACTGGTCATACTGTTGAAAAAATCGGAATTCTTCGGGAAAAAACCTCCAAAAGTTATATCCGGTGGAGGCGGAAAATTTGGGAATATAGAGTTAAAGTCTGGGAAACTGAAATTGTGGAATTTATTAAAACCATTGGCCCCAAAGTTAATATTTGGTTGACTTTGAAATTCTTTAAAGTTTTGATGAAACTGCTGGATTCGCTGCCTGGCGGCATTGAGGAGAGGGCTGCTCGGGAAGAAATTGGTGTTGAGATCCCCGAACAGCTCAAACGGTCCATTGGTCAGACTGGCGCGACCGTTCCCGCTGGCCGGACTGGCACCCTGCACGGCAATGTTCTGGTTGTGTAAGCTCTCCGTCCGTCCGCAGCGCTGGAGATTGACGGCTTCGGAGCCAGACAGGACTCTGGTCTCCTGCCAATCGTTGGATGTGAAAAAGCTGGTGGCGATGAATGTCTCTTTAGACATGTTGGAGCTCTTCGGTGCCTTTTGCTATCACGTAACACCGCTCACGCAAAACGTGAGGACCTAGTAGAACAGCAGCCACTTGCCAGTTCGTATTGAATAAACACACATGGAACCATGGTGGAACCAGTACTTATCTGTTTAGTTCACAGTATTGCATGTTCTTACTACAGTGGATATATATATATATATATATATATATATATATATATATATATATATATATATATATATATATATATATATAAAACACATTATTGAACTTAGAAGAACTTTCTTTAGAAATAGATAAAATCCCCAAATACACGTCTGTGAATCTATAGAATAAATAAAGGCCTACACAACTGCCAATCTGCAACCGGATTGTTCTATTTTTTATGTGAATCTACCTTAGCTCGGCACAAAACACAACGTTTATAGAATCACGGGGAACACGGTGACTTAACAGAAGTGGGAAAATATAATCGCCGTGTTACAGGAAGCATCAAGGTAAGAAAAGAAAACCAGCTCATAAATGTCATAAATTTGTTGAATAACATGTGCAGACGGCGCGATACAATTTATTTTTTAAAGACTCCACCGCACGAAAACAACAGATTGAATTACTAAGCGCTCAGCTCCCATAACTATCTGTAATGTTTAAAGAGCACTAGCTTTCGGTGTAATATTCGTGATGGAAAATAGACCTTAACTTAAAGCATAACACAGGTTCGGATGTTCAATGCAAGACTATTTATAATGAAAAATGTATTTGAATGTTTTACAAAAATTAATTATTACGTCGCAGATATGCTATATTTTGGCAAAGCTTATTTTGATACAACACGTGATATATTTTATATTTACTGGCAGAACTTATATATTAAGATAAACCACATATATCATACGATATACACTGGCAGCTTATAATCTAAACTTTACTATATTACCAGGCAGACGATAAGCACCGGCATAGCTTCCATAATGACAATGTGCAGGGAGGGAGGTGCGAGAAACTCCTATAGATTGTTGGCGCCAATGGTTGTACGTAACACTTGCTACACCTATCGCGTTATCTCAGCTTCAAGACAAAGAGAGATAAATCCTTGCCCCTCCCCAAACACGAAATGGGATTCTAATAAACTTTGGGGAGATCGTATGAACCACATTACAGAGCTAGACTCCTGCACCCACTTGTCTGAAACACATTAGGTTAGAGGTTTAACCTTAACCAGACGAATACTGTTGAGTTTTACACTTCTTTAGTATGTGGAAACAGCGTGAAGTTAGTTTAGTAATTAGAGTGAGGCATTCAACATGAACGTCACGTATCACGTGGTCCACAAAACGATCAATCGATTACTGGGTAACCTGGTGAGAAGGCACCAAGAAGAAACGTCATTTTCCTTAAGCCAACAAAATGGGGACTAAAAACCATATTGGAAATGGTGGTGTTTACTAGGGGTAGTGGTACGTCACTGGCCGCTAGGCAAAGACTAGAATACGTAATAGATTCACATGAAGGTCAAGGTGAATACTAGAATAAGTAATAGATTCACGTGAAGGTCAAGGTAAAGACTAGAATTAACATGGAAGTGAAGACTAGAATACACAATAGATTCACGTGAAAGTGAAGGAGAAGATTGAAATACGTAACAGTAAGTTCAAGGTAAAGTCTACCATACGTAACACGCTCACGTGGATGGCAAGGTGAAGACAAGAAGACGTCACACGTTCACGTGAAGGTGAGTAGCAAGGTGGAACAAGCGTGTGTTTATGCACGAGGGTTTATAATCAGCCGAGCGTGAGCAGCATCCTGGCTCATTCATCTAGACTAATCTCGTTAACACCGCCACACACTGGGTGCAAAGTCCTAGCTGGTCTAAAGGCTTTTCTGAACCCTTTAAGTTTTTTTTTAATGTCTAAGAAAACACGTCCATCAAAACGGTTGCCTCTCTTTTGAGTTTTGCTTGATACGTTTTTTTTTTAAATAAATGTTATTTTACTTTTACCTTAATGAATATAATTATTTTTATACTGATGAGGGTGGTCCTGTAAAAACTAACAACTGACCGTAAACAAAGTTTATCCTAAGTAAATGTACGATTCTATAAAGCACGAAGGTAATTACTTCACTGAATTAAATCCATACATTATTTGTAATGATAATGTAACTGCCTATATTTTGCTTTTAAAAGCTGGCTTTGATAAGAAAGACTTACTTGATAATTACATTACGTGTTTGAACGCACACACAGACAAAAAACACTGCGTTTAACACTGCAAGTAGATCTCGACAGGTCCAGACAAGCGTGTTCCCCCGTCTTCCTTAAATCACCGCCTGTGTTATTAAAAGCTAGTCCATACCTTTTCCCCCATATCTCCATGGTATTTACCCAAAGGTTAGGCCACAAATTGGCAGTAGCACGGCTGGAGACTCCAATCTACAGGACGCACGTGAATTGAATTAGACCAGCCTGCCAACGCCCTCCAGTGACCCGTGCCAGCCACCGTGGACGGCATTAAAGAGGTTGGAATCAGACCATTATTTCTGGTACGGCCACCGGGGTGGTTGAGGGAGGGGGCATGCCTGCGTGAGTCAATTGTTGACTATTTTAAACGAACGAGCTATCATTAAACTAGATTTCTCATCGCTTCTCTAACTCATTTTAGCCTAATTATTATAAAAAAAAAATTGTCGTTGTTTTTTTTTTAAATAAAACATGTGTTGTTTGAAATAAAAGTAATTTAAATGTAATTATTTTTAAACTAATTAAAGCTTCTAGTTTACTAAAAAGCATTCATCGTATGCTACACCATAAATTAATGCACGCGATAAATCTACACTGTTCACGGTTTCTCAGCTATAAGCATTTGATCCTAACGCCATCATCTCTCATCTGACTTATGAACCAGAAGTTGTGCTTGAAAAGCTTTGTTTATAATAGCGCCCATATGAGCACAGACACCGGAAGTCTGCACATGTTGGATTTTTATTTAAAAGATGGACTCTCTTTTGATTGCCATGTACATTTCAAATTAGCCGGCGCATGAACACAGATGACATCGATTAACATTAGGATTGATGCTAGGATTAAAGCTAATTTTACGGACTAAATGCTAGACACGCGTAACACGCTGGCTGGTTCATTGAGCCTCGACAGAGCACAATACGAGCTGTATTCTAACTTGCCTACATGGTTGTTTCGCATTTTATTCTAAGCATTCTTTTATTAACAGACATTCATTTTAAGAGTAGGCTACAGGCGGCATCGTACAACGACATAATCCACATACGATATTGGAAAACTATTCAATCCACCGAAGACACTGATAAACGACTTGAAAAATATTGAAAGTCTTTTTAAACGACTTAATACATTACCATACAAATCCATAATCACTGCACATTACCGACACTGTTAATCTACTAAATACACAACAGCCTTTGTGAAACGACTAAATCCACACACGACATCGTAAAACGACTAAATCCACTGACGGCACTATAAAACGACTAAATCCACTGACGGCACTAAAAAACTATTAAATCCACCGACGGCAACAATGGGACGACGGAAACCACGTGATCCGTCCCTCCACACGACTGAATGTTAGGAAAACAGCGCGGGGATCGCGGGCCGAGACGCTGAATATGTCAAAGCACCGACCTGGACAGCAGCTGAACCTCTACATCAACCCCCGACCAGCTCAACAGTCGAGTCCGTACGCCGCCCCACACGGGATACACAAGGGGAGAGAGAAAAAAAACCACAACGATGACGCGAGGTGGGGTTTAACCAGCGGAAACAGCACTAACTCGTCCCGTAGGCGGGGAGAGGGCAACTTTTTTGGTTGTGGAGTATTGAGTAAGCTCTCGTGATATCTTATGATAATTAAAACACGAGACCGTACTCAGAGATTGTAGACGTGTAATCTCTTGTAGGAAACACTAACGATAAACTCAAGCAGCAATTCTAGCCATCGACGCGGAGAGGGGGGAAATAGTGAGTCGGAACTTTGAAGGGGGTTGTGTGATGGTATCAACTAATCAAAAACGATGGCTGTTGTTACTGGCGTTTAGCATACATTGTTGAAAAATCAAAGTATTGTGTGAGCCGTATGATTGATAAATGAATGGAATATATCGTAGGCCTAGGTATTAAACTGTTTATGAGGCAGCTCATATTTTAATAATTCTTGAATTGGCTTAGAATAGCGCAGTAAACCAAATCAATTATTATTAACGTAAAACATCAAAACCAGAACAGAATTTCTAAAAAATTGTGATTACAACGACCACTTTTGCCAGGAGGGGAAGCGCAATATTTATAGGCGACGTCAGATGCAGAAAAGGTTTATAAATATACGAACTTTATAAATTTTATATAATTTATAATTTAAAAAAAGATTTATTTTATTTATATATTTATTTATTATCTATATATATATAATTCTCTTCTGGGAGACGCTAAAAAACAAGCTGTAAGCGCGCTCCCTACATGGTCTGGTGAGCTGTGGTTCACGCTAAATGTTTACAAGCAGAGCCGGGTTTAGTGACGACTATTAGGGGCAGATAATTTAGTTTGAAACTATTTTAAACGTAGGAGGGTGGGGTAACTAAGTGGAGTTTACTTTAACGGAGGGAGGGGGGAGGAGGGGTTATCGTCCTTAACGAGCTACTTATAGTGTTTTAAAGAAATATTTTCAGTGGCAGCGTTGGTACTGTCGAATTCACAAATTATGGATTACTGAAAAGTAGAAAAAACAACAACTAAATAGCGGCGTATGATATGCCGCGGGTCGGCTCGTATATTTTATAACATCAGGTGACACCATATACTTCCAGCACTCCATGAAGCGTTAGGCTAGAAAACACAATTACTGGCATAAAACGCACTGGGTATCAAACAGCGAGTCTCAAGTTGATGACTTAAAACACGTCATAATACCGGCGCCACCAGACACTGTTTGTCTAAGCAAGATTTATAGATCTCAAGTACAGGCAACTACCATTCTCACTTTAACAAAGTACCCCGTGATTTAAGGCTCATTTTCTGTAGAGTATCACTTCAAGACACTAGCCCCACCTTTACTCACCCCAAAAACCCAACTTTGCTAACATAATGTGTGGACAATAAGATCAAGGAAGAAATACATGAAATACAACCTGCATGTGATAAAAAATTGATCTGCTGTAAATACACATCTTTCCCCGTCCGATATAAACATAGCAAACTTAATAAGATGACCTAAAGGTCGAACATGTTTTTACATCAACATAGCTTTGAATGTGATTTAACATTGGTTACTGTAAACACCCATCTTTTTCCATCCCACACAAACTTTACCAACCTTTAAAGTTGACCAATAGATCAAACTTACATTACACAAACACAGACCTGCATATGCTTTAAACGTAACACTAAAGAGATTTTTTCCTCTCCCCCGTTTCCTCACCGTAGGTAAAAAAACAAAAACAAAAAACAAAACAAAATTCAATAAAAGTTCTCTCCGCACATGCCACATTTTCAAGGGCAAAACTTCTTAAAACAAAACAGTTTTCTCATTTAAAAACCGTTTTCTCTACAGGTCTGTCAAGTTCTTCCAAGATTTTTTTCTCTCCTCTGGCGTCAATTACGTCACTGCGCTCAGCTTGAAAACGATGCACAAAATTGGATGTTTTTCTGACAGACCCCACTCTTGACATATGGTTAGCTTATTATGCAAAATGCTGAAGTTAACAAAAAATAAGTAGTGTTTTAAAGAATGGAGCTGACAAACATATTTCTTTGATTTCTTTTGAGGGACGTGTCCAGGCTCAGGTGTCATCATGCTGAGAACTCTTATGGGCTGAGTTCCTCTATCAAGAGGGTGGGGGGGGGGTAGATAGCGTAAGACAGAATGTAAAACATTATGTTAGAGATTGTCTGAAACATGCCACTTATCTTCGACTACACTCGTTTTAAAAACAAAAATATGATAACTGCGTAGGTGTGTGCAAGGGTGTGCGTGCACCGGCGCGCGTGATCCTGAGTAAACTATGAAACACTTGACATTTACAATTTAATATTATGTAACTATAAAAAGTAAATGTAAATAATTATAATACTTATGTTCATGTTAGCTAACCTAAGCGATAGTTTTCAGAACCGATGCTTCATAAGTGTAAAACAATTTAATATTATGTAACTATAAATAGTAAATGTAAATAATTATAATACTTATGTTCATGTTAGCTAACCTAAGCGATAGTTTACAATATACTGGTCAGAACCGATGCTTCATAAGTGTAAAACAATTTAATATTATGTAACTATAAATAGTAAATGTAAATAATTATAATACTTATGTTCATGTTAGCTAACGTAAGCGATAGTTTTCAGCATACTAGTCAGAACCGATACTTCATAAGTGTAAAACAAAATACAAGCGATAGTTCTTATACAGTTTACGATCTGATCTAATACATAACCGATCCTTGCTGAGTGTAATACAACATACAACATACACGCGATAGTTCTCATACAGCTAACGATCTGATCTAATACATAACCGATCCTTGCTGAGTGTAATACAACATACAAGCGATAGTTCTTATACAGTTTACGATCTGATCTAATACATAACCGATCCTTGCTGAGTGTAATACAACATACAAGCGATAGTTCTTATACAGTTTACGATCTGATCTAATACATAACCGATCCTTCCCGAGTGTCGACAACAGATGCCAGTGCTATACTTGGCTCACTCTCTGACATCTGCGCTAAACACCGGCCCATCACAATATTCAGCTCCCATCGCCGTCCCCCATCAGAACATCAAACGGGAGATTGTACAAGCGGGATAAGAAAAACACCTTGCAACACGGGGGTGATAAGCAGGCAAACAGCAATCGATCTAACGAGAATTTCACAAGTGTGTTAGCCAGGGGTCAGGGGGCGTTAGTGTATTACGTCATACTTTTTGACTCATCCGTTTTATACCTCCGCCACCCTCTCTAAATATATATAAAGATAAATATCTTAAACACGTAATACACGCGGATAACTAGTCTTATCTTTAATCGATTACGTGCTATAGACATAATTAAATAAGGCCAAATTTTCCCATATTTTAATATTAATATGTAAATAATTATATCCTGTAGTTAATTTAATTATGTTAATAAAAGGGTACGCTGAGAAATATTCCCCTACCCGTTATGTTTTCGTGTTATCATCAAAAGCTTCAAACAGCCTCATACATATAAAGACAAGGAGAGAACCACTGAATATAAGGTATTCAAAACCTTCATATTTCAAAAGCACGTTCAGTAATCAAATAAAAGTTTTGAGGAAGCCACCGTATTAGCAGCTGTCAATACAGAGGTAGGATAGAAAACAGGTACCGCGTAACGAACCGTGCACCGGACAGTACCGCTGCTGTTTTAAACTGTTTAGTATTCATGGAGAACATCCGTTAGTAAAGACGGGAGCGCTAGTACACCTAGAATAGTATCCTGTCTTGGTATAACAGTTTGGTGATTAACTGTTTAACTTTCTTACAGTTCTTTAAATAGCTCTAGTATATCACCTCCGTTGATTGTACTCACATAAAATGTGAGCTGAATTGAATCCGAAAAAGCTTTTATACAAACAAACAAAAAAACGGAGTCATCCCATCCTGTTGATTTTCTTGGTATACTCTATGAACTCATGTTTGCAACAAAACCATCAAAAGAGCCCCTAATTGTCTACATTTTGGAAAGGATATTAAAAGATCGAATACGTAAAAAAATTAATTAATTAATTAATACTTTAAATTAGCCTTAGGATTTTCTTAGACTCCAATACCCTGTTTATGAGGGTGATTTATTATTCAAATTTTCCAGATAAATTTAGTTAAATGCTACTTATAAAATCTAAGCTAGTGAGGTTACATATGTGCCAGTCACACATAAGCCTTCAGTTAGTGGGGCTACATACTGGCCAGTCACATATAAGCCTCCAATTAGTGGGGCTACATACTGGCCAGTCACACAATAGCCTCCAGTTAGTGGGGCTACATACTGGCCAGTCACACATAAGCCTCCAGTTAATAGGGCTACATACTGGCCAGTCACACATAAGCCTCCAGTTAGTGGGGCTACATACTGGCCAGTCACACATAAGCCTCCAGTTAGTGGGGCTACATACTGGCCAGTCACACATAAGCCTTCAGTTAGTGGGGCTACATACTGGCCAGTCAAACATAAGCCTTCAATTAGTGGGGCTACATACTGGCCAGTCACACATAAGCCTTCAGTTAGTGGGGCTACATACTGGCCAGTCACACATAAGCCTTCAGTTAGTGGGGCTACATACTGGCCAGTCACACATAAGCCTTCAGTTAGTGGGGCTACATACTGGCCAGTCACACATAAGCCTCCAGTTAGTGGGGCTACATACTGGCCTGTCACACATAAGCCTTGAGGTAGTGGGGCTACATACTGGCCAGTCACACATAAGCCTCCAGTTAATGGGGCTACATACTGGCCAGTCACACATAAGCCTCCAGTTAGTGGGGCTACATACTGGCCTGTCACACATAAGCCTTGAGGTAGTGGGGCTACATACTGGCCAGTCACACATAAGCCTCCAGTTAATGGGGCTACATACTGGCCAGTCACATATAAGCCTCCAGTTAGTGGGGCTACATACTGGCCAGTCACACATAAGCCTCCAGTTAATGGGGCTAC